AATCGCTTGAACCTGGGGGAGTGGAGGCTGCAGTGAGCCAAGATTGTGCCAATGCACTCCAGCCTGGATGACAGGGAGACTCCATCTCAAAACAATCCGGCCAGGCGCAGTGGCTCATGCCTGTAATCCCAGCACTTTGGGAGGCTGAGGCGGGCGGATCACCTGAGGTGAGGAGTTTGAGACCAGCCTGATCAACACAGAGAAACCCCGTCTCTGCTAAAAATACAAAATTAGCCAGGCATGGTGGCACATGCCTGTAATCCCAGCTACTTGGGAGGCTGAGACAGGAGAATCGCTTGAACCTGGGAGGCAGAGGTGCTGGTGAGCCAAGGTTGTGCCACTGAACTCCAGCCTGGGCAACAAGAGGGAAACTCCGTCTCAAAAAAAAAGAGAGAGAAGTGTCACGCGTGCCGCTTGTGCAGGGACCACCAGGCAGGCTTTGTGTGAGCAACATGGCTGTTATTCCCCTGGGTGCAGGCAGGTTGAGGCTGAAAAGGGCGTCAGCAGAGGGTGGTGGGGTAGGAGTTGGTTCTACAGGTTGGAGCAAGTGGTCAGTTAGAGGTGGTAATTATCTTGGGGAAGGGAAAGGCGTCACGGGATGCATGATCACAAGGTAGGGGTCATTTATTACAAACAGGCATGATCATAAGGGTGGGGAGTATCGGTTGCAGTCGGGGGGGGTGCAGTAGATTACATAGTTACGGGGTGGGAGTCTTAAGAAACCCAATGTCTGGGGGAAATTTTGCAAGGCTGAACAGGAACAATGGGTACAGGTTTGCAGAGCAATTAGTTGAGGCAGGAACAAGTTGTTTTACTTCTTTCTGTGGCCACCTGGTCATTTGTGGTTACTTTAGACTTTCTGGCTCCTGGGGACTTTCCAGAGGTGTATGTGCAGGTCACCAAGGCTAAAATGGCCAGGCCTGGACTTGGAGGCCTAACAAGAAGGAACACACAAGTCTGTTAGGGCAGAGAGGCTGTGGATTGCATTTAGTCTTTCTGTCAAAAGTAAAACTCAAAGAGCTATTTTTCAAAGAGTCTTTTAAATCTGGAGCTTAAAAATGCAATTGCCCTCGTTTCTGAACTCCATTGAATACATCTGGGGATGAAACAGAAGCTATCAACGTCTCATGCCAAGCTGCCTCAGCACCTTTAGAGGATTCACAAGCCTTTTTCCACTCTAAGATGTGAACTAGAAAGTGTTTGCGATTCAAGCTAGAATGAGTTCAAAGTTGGCAAAAGAAAGATAATGAGAGGTAAGAGTTGTCAAATGGTTCTCAGGAGCTGAATAATTTAGTGCTCTTAGCTATAGAAGAATGGTCTTGGCCAGACACAGTGGCTCATACCTGTAGTCCCAGAACTTTGGAAGCCTGAGGTGGGTGGATCATGAGTTCGAGACCAGCCTGACCAATATGGTGAAACCCTGTCTCTACTAAAAATACAAAAATTAGCCGGGTGTGGTGGTGTAAGTCTGTAATCCCAGCTACTTGGGAGGCTGAGGCAGGAGAATCACTTGAACCCAGGGGGCGGAGGTTGCAGTGAGCTGAGATTGCACCGCTGCACTCCAGCCTGGGCCACAGAGCAGGACTCTCAAAAAAAAAAAAAAAAGAATCTTTTTACTGTTTAATGTTTCACTTCAGCTACTTAGAGAGAAGCATAATGCAGGTTAAGTATCCCTTATCCAAAATGCCTGGGATCAGAAGTGTTTTGGAGTTTGAATTAAAAAAAATTTTTGGAATATATTTGCATATACATAATGAGTTATGTTGGGGATGGGACCCAAGTCTAAACGCAAAATTTATTTAGTTTCATATGTACCTTACATGCAAAGCATTAAACAAATTAAAAAATGTTTTTCTGAGACAAGGGTTTGCTCTGTCACTTAGGCTGGAGTGCAGTGGTGCGATCATAGCTCACTCGTCTCAAACCCCTGGGTACAAGTGATCTTCCTGCCTCAGCCTGCTCAGTAGTTTGGAACTACAGGCGTGCCACACAGACCTGGCTAATTTTTAAATTTTTTCTAGCGACAGAGTTTTGCTATGTTGTCCAGGCTATGAAGGTGATTTTATACAATATTTTAAATAATTTTGTGCATGAAACAGTTTCAATGGCATTTTGATTGAAACCTGTCACAGAAGGCCAGGTGTGAAATTTTCCACTTGTGGCTTAGAAAATTTTGGATTTTGGAGGCTTTCGGATTTTGGATTTCTGGGTTAGGGCTGCTCAACCTGTTGTAAAAAATAGTTGGCTGGCAGGGGAGTCTCTGTCCTTGCAGACTGGCATCCGCAGCTGTGACCACACGGTGGCGCTGCTATCCCGATGTTGGGAACAAGCGAAAAAGAAAAAAACCCAACTTTTTTTTTTTTGAGACGGAGTTTTGCTCTTGTTACCCAGGCTGGAGTGCAATGGCGCGATCTCAGCTCACCGCAACCTCCACCTTCTGGGTTCAAGTGATTCTCCTGCTTCAGCCTCCCGAGTAGCTGCCATCCACGCCTGACTCATTTTGTATTTTTAGTAGACACAGGTTTCACCATGTTGGTCAGGCTGGTCTCCAGCTCCCAACCTCAGGAGATCAGCCCCCCTGGGCCTCCCAAGGTGCTGGGATTACAGGCATGAGCCACCTCGCCCGGCATGAACCCAACTTCCTAAGTGGTGAAAGAGTAAACTCCTAGAAATATGAAATAAGGTTTAACACCTATTGCAGTAATGTTTTAAAACTGCCTTTTGCATAAAAAATCGTGGTAAAATGCACATGACATAGAATTTAACCTTTTTTTTTTTTTTTTTTTTTTTTGAGACGGAGTTTTGCTCTT